CCCAGAAGGCAGCCCGCAGAGGCGCAGCTGCGAGGCCCCGGCGGCCCTGCCCCGCTTGGGAAGCTGCTCCTCCCGCGACGCTGCCTTCCTCCCCCGGGATCCATCCGCGCCCAGAGCTCTGCTCCCCCCTCCCTCCGCCTCCGTGCCTGGAAGGGGGGATCCCTCTCCCCGCTTTCATCGCCATCCCGGGAGCAGTTGGGGCGTTATCTGTTGTCTGTCTACTTATCTATATCTATATCTATCCCATTCATCTGTCTGTCTATCCTCCTGCCTGTCTGTCTATATCTATCCCGTCTGTCTGTGTGTCTATCTGTCCATCCCATCTATCCTCCTGTCTGTCTGTCTATCCCATCTATCCTCCTGCCTGCCTGTCTGTCTACTTACCTATATCTATAGCTGTCCCATCCGTCTGTCTGTCCTCCTGTCGGTCTTTCTATCTATATCTATCCCGTCCGTCTGTCTCTTTATCTTCTTGTCTATCTGCCTCTCTATATCTGTCTATCCTGTCTATCTATCTATCCCATCTATCCTCCTGCCTGTCAGTCTATCCATCCGTCCCATCCCTCTGCCCTCCTGCCTGTCTGTCTGTCTTATTTATCCTCCTGTCAGTCTGTCTCTCTCTCTCTTTCCTCCCCAACCTGGAGGGGTCTCCCCCTTCCCTAATGGCTTCAGCTTATCTGTATCTTGGGCCTCAGTATCCGTAATCCTGCGGGTTTGGGATTATGGGAGGTAAAAGCCCGACACCTCTCCGCAGAAGCCTTGGGGCGTTCATCCATTTGGGCCTGGGAGGAGCTGAAGAGCAGATAGGGCTCCTTGTCTATTCTGTCTTTCCACGGTGGATTTTAGAGTTTGGGCGGAGGTCCTTTCACAGACGACCTTTTCTGGGATGCCCCTTCCCGCTTTTTGGCTTAGTCTCTCCTCCCTCCAAATGGTAAAGACCGAAGACGTGCAATTCAGCCAGGCAAGTGACTAGACGTTCATGCTAAGCGCGTGCGTGGATTGTCGCTGGTTTGGGGTTTGGCAAGCTTTTTATCTGGGTGGGTTGCCTGGAGGTGATTTTTGCTCCAGGTTATAACCCTGTTTGGGAATGTAGGAACCCTGTGGGAATAATTTTATAACACCCCGGCTAATCTCATCCTCGCCTTTTTCCCTGGAGCGAGTTTCCTGCTCTTTCAGCTTTCTCGTCAATCTCTTAGCTGTTCTTTGGCTTTTTGGTGCTTTGGCAACCATAGTGTCTGTTTCTATCAAGGCTTTATCAATGCAGTGGGAATGCCTTGGGTATTTATACACCCACCAGTTAATTCCAAACCTGCAGTGTCTTGCATCAGAACTTCCTTTCTGGCTCGTCGGTCTGGTTTTGGTTCGCTTTCCCTGCATTTGCCATGCCTCTAAAGATCCCTTTTCTCTCTCTTTTCCAAAGACGACTTCCTGTGGCTGCAGGTTGAGGCCTGCCTCCTTGATCTAGCTGTGAATTTCATAGCCAGACTCATCAGGTTGAGCATCTAGCAGGAATTGCCTTCCTATTGCATGTTGTTTAAGGAGAAAGAATGAGGGGGCAGTCATAAAAGGCATGTTGAGACAATGCCAGCACTGTGTGGGAATTTGTTCCCTGTGATCGCCCAGGTGCAACAGCAATTGGGCAGGATGAGTCCTGTGACTTCAGTCCACCAAATTGCTTCTTGGAGGAGAGCTTCCGAGAAGCCCAAGATGCCTGCAGACCTCCCTTTTGAAATGGGTGTGCGCAGCTTAGACCCTGAAGGAAAGGCTAGCCAAGCCCATGGAGGTGAAGTAATGTTACAGGGCAGATCGCTGTGGAATGAGGGGAACCCCACCCAGAGGCGTCCTTGGTGCATCAGGAATGACAAGGCCTGTCAGGGCCATGATGCACGCAGTTACCCTGTGCAAAATCAGGTTTGGCAGGAAACAACTGGTCTTGCTGGATCTGAAGAGTCAGAGGTGGGAAGGGGGGCTTGTCTCCGGCAGCCGGGATCAGTGAATGTCGCTTGGCCTGTTCCTGATCGTGCTACGACAGTTTTCTAGAATAGGGAGCGGCAAGAGCGGTTTGGAGCCCGGCAGAGCGACACCCTGCTGATTCTGTCCTTTCCAAGATAGAGCAAGCCAGTTACGAAAAGGACATGGATGTTGACATTTACCCAGTGCAGAAATGAAATATCTCGGTCGTGGTGAAAAGATGATATATCTAGGCTGCGTTTGCCCAGCGTGCCTAATTAATAGCTGTGTTTGTGTCATATGCTGAGCTTTAACCTTGACTGGCTTTTCTGTGGCTTAGCTTATAACATGAGCCCAGCTAGTTTGATTAGTTTATGATCCTGCACAATCCAGAAAATGGATCAGTTCAGTAACTAAGCTGTTACCCATACCCGGTGCAAATATTTTCCCTTGGTGTTCCCAGGAGACGAGGGGCTGTGTTGAAAACGCTTTGAGACTCAGTGTTTTCTAAACTTACAATAATGCCTTGGTTCTCCTAGGTGAAGACCTTCCCTTGGTATTGTACTCTTTTTTCATTCCTTTGCTCTGTGTGTTTGCAGAGCCTTCTCTGGGCTAAATAGAAAATATTTCCTTTGCTTGTTCTCTGGAGAGGGCTGTCAGTCAGTCAGAACAGAGGTTCTTAGTTAAAGCAAGTTGATTATGTGCCCTGGATACAAGAGCAGTTCTGGGGGCTGACATCCTCCTTATTCCAGGGTGGTGGGGATTATTTATGTATGTATGCATGTATGCACGTATGTATTTGTTGCTATTAGGCCAGGATCTGAAATCCCAAAGACTGTGTTTTAGAGCAGCAGACAAACCGCCTTGAATGAGTTTCTGTGTAGATGTTAACAGCAGTGGCTTTCAATCTGTACATCTGGAACCTAACAGACCGATATGAAAATCTGTAATAGTCAGTATGTACCAAAGACAGCTAATCTATTATCAGTCTCAGTGCAAGCCAAGCAGCCTGGCTGTGCCTTGTGTGAATAAAGTATTAACACTCTCAGATACGCAGATTCGGCAACAGGGATTCTCCAGCAGACCCAACGTATGTGGGAAGATTCAGCAATAAATGCAGACTTCAAAAACAGAGACGTGCTGGCAGTGGGGACTATGGCAGCTTTAGGATTTGTACTTTGAAGACAAGAGGCCTTTGCGTTATTCTCCTAAGATCTGCCAAACTTCCAGGAATTGCTGTTGCTGGTGATGAAAGCAAGTCTTTCACAGTTAGTGCTGCAGGAAGAGAATAACCATTCATTCATTCATTCGCTTCCCACCTCACTTTCTTCAAGTGATTCTGGGCAGTGTACAACAAGGTTAAAAAATAATAAATACATTAAAAAGTATAAAAAACTTTAAAAAAACCAAAATCTGTGCCTTCTCAAACAGGCTTCTGTGGGGTACAGTGAATGGGTAGAGACAGTCTGATGTAAAGATGCTGGTAAGTCTGCCACCAGCTTTTGGGAGGTACAACCTAGAACTCTGATTGGAAGAAAAGAACAAAGATGTTTTCCATCTCCTTTTTCATTTGGATGCTCCAATTTGGTGCAAGGACAGGTGGTTCCCCCCTCCCCCCCCCCCGATACTGACCCTGTCTGTCTCGTTTATTCTCCAGTTTATTTGATAACAAAAAAGATGATTTCTTGTGTCAGGAATCAGAGGGTCCTTTCCACATATGTAGGACTGACCCTGCTAATTGGGTGTTGGGCTCTGCACTTGTACGCTTCAGCCTGCCAAACTGGGTAAGCAAAATTTTAAGCTTTTGCCCCGTGCTTGAAATTGGTGGGTTTTTTGGGCCATTTGGGCTCATGTGGTGGAGACCAGCAAGGCAAGGGAATTCGAAATGCTGTTGGGAAGAAACAGGTATAGAAGCTGCGGCTTCTTCAGGTAGATTCACGTTTACGTTTTGCCACCATCCTGTTGGATCTGTTCCACTATAGCAGGAAGTCCAAAGTGAAGCTGCTTAAGGCTGTTTTAAGAAGACTGAATGAGGTTGACTTGGTCACTAGACCATCACCAGCATCAATGCCGAGAAAGCTGCACAAGTTGCTGGTCAGTTTCCAAAGCCAGTTTTGTTTGGGGGGCGTTCGGTTGTTGGGGGTTTTATTATGCACAGCACAAACTCCTTAACTTAATTTGTCGCACGGGCAACTTGCTGCAAGCCTTCCATGCAGCTTTACAAAATTCTCCTGTGAACACAAAGAACCCAACGGTAAAGGTAAGGCGGCTTAGGGGAAATTTCACTCTTCCTGTCTCGATGTGACCTTCTTGTGTCAGATCAACCCTCACATTCCCCAGTTAGTGAGCTGTCTGGGGGGCAGGAAATTGGGAAAGATTGCTGCCTAGTTTTTGCACTAATCCAGCCACTTGTGGGTTATTCAGTGGATTCAGTAGTGCAACACCTGAACTCATTCCATAAAAGCAAAGGCAGCCTCCTCTCCCCCAGTGAGGGGTGTGTGTGTGACAAGAACATTTTGGAGAAAAAGTAAAAACATTTTTTTGTGGGGGGGGGGTCCTCTGATTTTCCCCTTTCTGGCCTTTGCATTTCTATTCAGGGTGGTCAAGCAGTTGGTGCACCAGGACAGTTTTCCTAACTGAAAACAGTTGGAAAAAACAAGCATTTTTCATTCATTTAGTTAGCACTTTTACTGCAGTGAAGACTCTCCAGGGTGCATTTGGGACCTGGAGAATCCTTCCTTCAGAGCTGCCTGCGTGAGTTGGACTTCACTGGTGGCTTCATTCTGCTTCCCTTGTATTTCTCCTTAGGAGCAGGCCCAGGAAGTGGTGCTGAAGGTCCTCACGGCCTTCAAAAGCAGCGAGATAGAACAGGCAGTGAATTCTTTAGACAGCAATGGTATTGACTTGTTAATGAAGTACATTTATAAAGGATTTGAAAAGCCAACGGAAAATAGCAGTGCAATACTACTTCAGTGGCATGAAAAGGTACGTGGCTTCTCTTCTTCGAGGCTTAGCTCCTCCTGCATGGTTCAGCAGGCCCCCTCCTCCCCTATGTGCTTACCAGCCAAGGAAAGTGAGGACCAGAAAAATTGCCTGTCTAGATTTCAAAAGTCTGTGGGGTTTTAAGCAGGCTACTTTGGTGTCAGCCCCACTTGTTAGACCAGACCAGGAAGGCTAGAAGTATTTGGAGAGGCTAGAAGTACTTTGAGTTTGGCTATAACAGTTTTGCAAGTCTGATTGTGCTGGACTTCCTCCCCCTTCTTATACTGCTGTGAATCAAGGAGGTGTCTGCCTGAGTTGCTTCCAAATGTTATCTTTCTCAGGACTTAAAAAATGCTTCAGCCCCTTTTGCCTAGGGAGCAGTTCCTGTGTACCTCTATCAAGATCATCTTCCTGTCTCTCTACACCTGGCCACCAACATGGTGGGCTAATGGTGGAAGCTGCTGCATGCGCCAACCTGGCATAACCTCTGTCTATTGCAAAGGTGTGCCCACCCAAAGGAGCACAAAGCACGAGGATTTAGGCTCTTAAGCTGTTATAATGAATAAACCGCAGAACCCAAACTCTCAATCTCGCTTGCAGCAAACAAGAGGGTCCCAGTCTATTGTGTAAAAAATGCTGCTGCTGTAGAAAAGGGATTCTGGGCTAACCTCAGAACTTAAGTCTCTCCAAAACAGCCTTGGTAAATTTCCTTTACATCAAACCTTTGCCTCTTACAGCAAGACTAAAAGCACCAAGAGGAAATGCTTTGTTTGAACTGTGGTTTCATACAGCACCTGCCCCTAAATATTTCAACGGTACGATTGTGGTGGAAGCTCAAGATCTTCCTCCACGTGTAGCAATTAGAGACTTAAAATAGGAGACTAGCCCCATTCCTTTCTCTAGCCCCCTTATAATGAAGGGGCAAGATACAGATGGAGCAAGTGATTCTGCTGTGGGGAGAGCCTTTTGTGATGCTCCTGCTGCTGCTGCCTTCACTAGGGCTGAGAGGATGGGGCCCTTTAATACATAAATGTACCTCCTCAGGCTTGTCTGAGTCTCAGTCCCCAACAGTCCATGTCCTAGAGAAGTGGCCAGGATGAGCAAGCACTTTATGCTCTGGCTCTGGGGCTGATGGGGGTTTGCTTGGAGAACCAGCACTAATTTTTGTTTCTCTTCTCTCGCCCTTTCAGGCATTAGCAGTAGGTGGACTTGGATCAATAGTCAGGGTTCTTACTGCACGAAAAACGGTTTAAAAGGCTGTGGTCACTCGAATTGAGACACGAAGAACTCTTTTGGGAGCCAGGAAGAGCCTCCATGTTTTGGTCACTCCGCTAGGAACGGCAGCCACCCGAAACACTGTGGGGGAAGGAGGGAGCATCTCTTCTTCTACCCTCAGAGCCACCCAGATGGGAGACAAAGCCCGTGCGCTCGTTTTCTGACAGACTCAGAGCTGGGAGGGGAGGCAGCCTGCAATTTGTGAGGCAAAGGGAGATGGGGGTGTGATTTGCGCTTTGCAACCAGATGCCCGTTTCCAGAACGGCGGCTGCTCTGGCTCAGTGGATGTGTGTGTGTGCGTGTGTGTGTGAAATTTTAATTTAAATGTAACACATTTGCGGTGTCGGGGGCATGGGGGGGGCGGCAGCTACTGTGTCAGGAGCAAAAGGTTGGCCTGGTTTGAGGGTGTAGGGGAAGGCGTTCTTATGCAAGGGGGCTTTTTGTACATAGTTAAGAATAGCTGGGCTCAGTACAGATGTTGGTTTCATGTAAAGTGCCTGCTGCTCTTATCAAAATAAAGTTCTTGGATGGTTAGTTTAAGCCAGCTCTGGCTACTTGCTCTGTCTTCCTTACCAAGAGGCTGGGTGGATTCCCTATATCCAGCCTGGGAAGGAAGTGGGGTTAAGCCAATAGAGCCAGTCCCTCACTGCAATTTTTCCATATAACGGATGATCTGTATTCATTTCCATGCCTAGGAAACCCACTTTGCTATGTTTAAGCGGGAACTTTAAGATGTGTGGCCTTCAACTCCCAGAATTCCCCAGCTTAATTCCTTAAGGGCCCACCGCAAAAGGAGCAAGCAAGAAGGTCAATCGTTTAGTCTGAAGGGTTCATCAAAAAAAAATGTATTGCACCACAAATTAGGTCTCTCTAAGCCATCACATCGTAAGAGTCCATTATGTACACAGAATGAATGGCCTACCCAGGGATCCACAAAGGCTTTTCTATATGCATACTCCGGGATAGTTTATGTTCTTTCTGTGCAAGGAAGGAAAAGTGCATTAGTTGCTACAACACTTGTTCTTGCTTTGCCAGCTTACAACAGTTCGACGGAAAGGTTATTGCAGGCTCTTCCCTAAGAGCTTTCCTACAGAATGCCGGCTCTCGGAGATCTGGCCAGCGTCCCACGTTTCACTCTGAATCTTAGTAAAGACGACCAGCGTGTCCACTTCTAGTGGAATTTTTCTGACACGGCAGCTGGCAAAGATACTGTTGCTTAGCAATATGCAGGAAGTGGTGTAGAACTGCAATGAGCAGTCTTTAAAAGAGTTGCCCGCTGCACCGTTTATATCATCTCTAAATACGCTGGTTAGTAAAAACAGGGCTGTTTCTTCTCTAAAGGCATGGCTTTTGGTTTCAGGAAAAAAAACACAGCTCTTTAACTCTGCCGTTCTAAGGAGCCGGTTCGATGAGTGTGCGAATGCACCCATCTGTTAAAAGCAGTCATACAGGTTTGTGTCAACGCTTCCTGCTAAGGATGAGAGTTGTTTGCAATTAGCCTGTCTCCGCTTCTTACTCCTCACCATCAAGCAGAACCTACCATGTGTAACGTACAAACCTGTCAAGGGGTTATGATTTGGGCGCCACGCCCAACGGCGCATGGTTTCTGGTTCCCACTTGTCGAACAGGTGGCTAACCGTGCCCCTCACCAGCACATCTGTTTTTTAAAAGCTAGAGCACCGTGAAATCCCGTTTAAAACCATTTTTCTTTAAGAAAAATAAAAGCTGGCCAACTCTGTAGAAAGTTGAGCTGGTTCCCACTGGAAACCTAGCATGCCATTCCCAGCTTCGGTTGAGTGTATCAGTAACCATGGTGTAGTGTTAATAAGCTGGGGTGGGGGGTGGGGGGCAGATGTAGCAGTCTGAGAAGGCAAAGCTGTTTTCCGTCCCCGATGGATTACACATCACCAGGAATGATGTAAGGACCAAGCACCCACAGACCCCTGCTGTACATAGCTGGAGACATCTGTCCCTGCAGAAGCCAAAAGGCAGCTCAGACTGCCACCACTGTAACCCTTTCGTCCCACAAAGTTGGGGCAAAAGAGGCCCCTTTTACAGGTCAGCTTTGTAAACGTCTTCCCCCACAAAGTTCATGGTACACAAAATACTGTGGTCACCGCAATCCACACCTCCATTGTCAGGTGCACCTTTTCATGGGGGGGGGGCCCACAAAACCCAACAACCAGAGGCGAAGGAGCAGGACACCCTGGTAGGGCCTCAGGACCACGTCATCCTCGGATTCGAGATAGAGGGTCGGATGCTCCCCCTCGGAAGTGGCTTGGACCCGAACCAGGACATCTGAAAAAAAAGGGGGGGAGACCACCCAGAATTAGGCATTGAATCGTGCAGCTGCTAGTTTTACCGATTCTCTGAAACCTCCCCCCTCAGACCTGTAAAAGAAGAGAGAACATTTCAGCCCTATCTGTTTCAGAGCCATCCAAGGAGTGGAGGGGCTGGACTAAAAAATGGGAGACGGTGAGTTCTAGTCTTCCCCTAAGACGGAAGCTGGTTGGGTGGCTTTGGGTCAGTCCCTCTCAGTCCAACCACCTCACTGGGTTCTTGCTGGGAAAACAGGAGAGAGGAGCGTACTGTGCGCTGCCTCAAGTTGTACAAAATAATGGATATAAATCACATAAATCACCAGTGTTCCTCTGGGGACTGGACACAATCACAAAACAAAGCAGGCCCCAAGATGGAAACGGCGGCTCACCCTCCTTTTGAAGCATGCAAATGGCCTCTTCTGAGAAGCGTTTTAGTGGAAGTGGTAGCAAAAGTGCAACGGGTGGCTTGGGACAGACAACTTCCTTCCACACCAGCTGGGTGACGAAAGTGTGTGTGCATCAGAGCATCAGTGGACCCTTACCTTGTACTCCAAGGTTTCCTTGACCATGTTTTCTTCCTCTGGAGAGAAGTTGAGCAACACAGACAAAGCCTTGATCAAGTGAAGCGCCTGAAATGCCACAGCAACCAAGTTACAAAAATGGGGCGTTTTGGACCACGTCTGTAAATTGGATCATCGATCCACTAAAGACAGCTGACCAGAAAAACGGCTCTTAGCATTAAAAAAATAAATACATAAATTTCTCTTCCAAATTTCCGGCAGAGGTTTGCAGAACTCACGGGTAATTTTTCATGTACGTAAATTAAAGATTTAATTTAAATTAAATTAAATTTAAAGGGCAACATCTTCTGATCTAAAAATGTCTCTTTTTGACTTGGGAGGTCTAACCTTACTGCAAATGGTCCAACTTTGAAATATACTGTACATTTCTAATACAGGCATTTTGTCAAGGTAAACAACCGATTTTCTTATCTAAATTTGAATTCCTTACTTTTTTCAATAAGACACTGGAAAATGAATGAAATTCCAATCTTGAACAGAATGCCCCGAACATGGCCCAAAAGCCATGAAGATAAATCAACAAGATCATCAAAACATTTTTTCCCTTACCTCCGATTCCCGGCAGGACATAAATTTTAGCACCACGTGCTTAAGATACTCAAAGTTTATCTCCCGGGAATCGCTCAGATCGGAGTTGTTTGTTACAGTCAAGGCAGCCGTGGGTACTTCAGGGACTTCGCCATCAGGTCGAATTTTCTGAAAGGAGAAAAATAGGGTTAGGTTGAAAAGCAAAATGAAACCGACTGTCAGGCGCGGTGCAAACACCACCTCATTTACAGGGCAAAGGCTGTGTCAGTCCCCAGACTGTTTTCAACGTAAGGCTCCTAACACTGCACCAAGAAAACCCCAAGGTATCAATCTACACAAATCATGTGACAGAATTAATTGCATTTGTACTGTGCTCTTCCACTAAGTGGTGCTCAAGACAGCTAACAGGACAGTATAATATAAGAAAACACCAGGAAAAATGCAAGGATCAGACCGAAACGAGCATGAATCAAATTACAGTAATCAACATGTCTACTTAAAGTCATCTCTGCCTCCCTAAAATCACCCAAAGAGGCCTCTCTTGAATTCCTGCCAAACATGACTGAGATGTTGGTGGATCAGAATGCAGAGTTATCTTCTCAGGATCTCAAAACCCAGGCAGGCTAACGGGGAACAGCAGCTTTTCAGATGAGCAAACCTCTTGATTGATAAGGGCCTTTTGGACTGTACCCTGAGATGGTGCTGTTCTACTTGGAGAACTACCTGGTCTAAACATACAGCAACCAACCCTCTTTTGGTGGCCAATGTCTGTAGGCCTCCATCACAACCAAAGAGAACCAACAGATATTCTCAGGCAACTGGATATTTTGTGTGCATGGATGCTAGATAGACACACAAACCCATGGTGCTGAAGCATGAAAGCCAAGACACTAGTTTGGTTAGAACAAACTTTATTCTGAGGGGTCTATACTCACAAGTTCTTTCTGCAAGGTCTTTTTTAGCTCTGCCATTCTCTGCTGCAGCTGCTTTATCATCTAGTGGGGGACAAAAGGGAAAGGAGATCTTGAGTCCCCTGGCCTTCCAATTATACACTCTGCAATAAAAGCTACTGAGCACCTTGAGGAAGCAGGACAAGAAGTGAATGGGCAAATCCATAATCCAAACTGCTATTTTACCTACAGGAAGGAGAGGGCCATTTTGGAGTTGTTGCCTGTCCAAAGGTAATGTGAATGAAAACAGATCCATGTTTGATGGCATCTGGACCGAGTTCCCACAAATTAACTCCAAAAACCAGGTTCACAAAAGACAATGACTATGTTCACCCAACATGGGAACCCCAAAGGTGGCCCTCCAGACAACTCCTGGCCAGAAGAGCCATGATGGAAGAGGCTTAGAGCACATTAAATTCATTAAATCTGGAGCACACAAACTCTACCCAATAAATGAGAAACAGAGATGGCCATTTTTTTTTTTTTTTTGGTAGGAGGTAGAAAATTCCAGGACATCTTGCTCAAGTATTTGTGATACTATGCACCTTTCTATGCAGAAATGTTGTAGGTACAATTGGCTTCCCCCATAACTCTTTGGGGGCTCTGTGTTTGCAAAAGAGCCCATCTGAGTTACTCTTGGAAGAAAAGCAAGGGAACCACTCATGAGACAGGTTATCAGAGAAGAGGAGGGATCAGAAAAATAGGTGCCAAGAGAAACTGAGCCTTCACCTTGTTTTTTTCTGCAATCTGCTGCTCCAGGTCTCTGTTCTCCTTCTGCAGTTGGATTACATCTGAGGAAACGAGTTCTCCATTGGGCTCAGCCTCCCCATCTTCAGAGAGATGCAAGTGGTCTTCCAAGGCCATAGAGGCTAGTTCTAACACTGCAGCCTGGCCAACAAGAAGAAAGAACGGAGTTCAGTAATGCTGGAGCAGATCCAGAAAAGGAAGCTGTGTGTGAATTCAGTCACAAGATCAATCTTCATTCCAGCCCTCTCATTCCAAATATACAGAATCGCAACCTCCATCATCACAACTGGCACAGCCAAGGGAGGACACCAGATTGGGGAGGACACGTTTGTTACATCACACCAACTAAATGGCTTATGGAGTACAGCATCCAGTGAGCTACGCTACTTTTGGGAAATCCACAAGAAGGACTTCTCTTGTAGATCCCTACCCACAGATGGGATTAGGGCTTTTATGACAAGTCAACATGAACACCAGATCCTCCATGGGTTTACCTAAATGTCCTTTCAAAGCCATCCATACAACAAGAGTATCAGTTCATACGTAGTCTAAGAACAGTTCCTAGCAACTATCAGGAGGAACAAAAAAGATATTTCTGGATCAACCAAAGTGGGTGGTATAGTCTACTGGAATCTTCTAAATGGTTCTGGGAAGACTCCAAGTAGGGTATGAAGGCAGTTGCTTTCTAGCTTTTCTTCCACTGCATTTTGCCAAAGTGAACCAAAGTCATACCCTCATCCTATCCTCAAGATCCTTCAACCTGTTAAAGATACAGGCAGAACAGAAATTCCTGTTGATTAAATTCGCTCACTTGCTTCTCACGGGCTAACAGGCGTTCTTGCTGTTCCTGGAGCTGCGTCTGGAAAACCCGCAGCTGTTCTTCCATTGCTGCTTCCTTCTCCGCGGCCTGGCCTTGGCATGACTGCAGCTGATGCACCTGCAGCAGAAGCAGGTCGTGTTCTGGGAAAAAAGAGACACAGTGAACCCTGAGTTCGTTGGGGAGAAGCCACTTCTGGGCCCTGACTCAAGATGGGGCAAAGAGAGGATCACTCGGTGTCCAAAGAACACAACTTCATCCTCAGAACACCCTGTGATGTAGTCTAAGGTATATACAAGGAGCAAGCTACTTAAGATAACCAGAGCTGCCGAGCTACTTGGAGATCTAACCCCACCTCTTGCCTCTCAGTCTGACATTCTAACTACAAGCATAGGAGCTCTCAAAGCAACCCGAAGATTTTATATTATTGTTTGTTCTTCTTTCCTACAACCCATGAGCAAATGAGAGTTTCATGGCCGAGGGGTTTGGCCTCTGCTTGTGCTGGCAACTCTCATGCTGTTCCGTTTGTGCAAAGAGACTCCCATCCCACATGTGGGCTGAGCTTGAAGTGCATCTGAGAGATGCCCCACTATTATGAAGCACTGGGGCCATCGTTGTTGGAATGAGAGAGAGGAAGTGTTTGGAAAGTGTGGCCTGGAAGATGAGATGCCTTGCACATCCTTTACAAGCTATGCTTTGAACTTCTAATTCAGGAGGCTCAGCTCTGCTGGAAAGGTCCTCTGCCCTGAATGAAAGCCCTTGTTTCTCCTCAAAGACGGCATGTGGCGTAATGACACTTTTAAAAAATATATTCAAAAACACCACCAGTAAACAAGTAAGAACTGCTTCCAATTTAAGATGTCCACAAATTTAAAACCTGGATGATGCTAACGATGGTCAACACAGCAAGCTCAGGTGGAGCTCCATGGAAGGGAGAAGGCAGACACAGGAAATGACAGGTTTTGAGAGGACCAAGGAAATGCTCGCTCTGCTGGTGCTGGGAAATGGTCTCACCTTGCCTTAAGGACTTGGCCTCTTCCTCCTGTTTCAGGAGACTGTCTGTCTGGTCTGCAATCTGCTGGTCCTTCTCCTGTAACAACACGGTCAGATCTGCAACCTGACCCCCAGAAAAAAACGGTAGATGAGTTGTCAGAATGGGACACCCAGTCTTTATTTCAAAGCACAGCTCAGACTGCCTCTGAGCCAGGATACGCTCCACACCTGCTGCTTCCGGGTCTCCTCCAAGGTTTGGATGATCTCAGCACTGCTGCTCAATTCCACCTGCAAAGTAGCAAGAACTCTGTGGTTAGAAGACAGACAATTCCCAGCAACCACAAACAGGAGGGGGAGAAGACCACCAGAAATGTACCCAATTTATACCACAGGAGAGGCTTCCCTGATCCCAAGTATCAGAACTATCAACGTTGGGCCACCAGAAATCTTTCTTCCCCCACTCAAATTAGATATCTAGGTAAACAGACAGACAGACAGACATGGATGGGTGAGTGGATGGGTGGGTGGGGAGAGAGAGAGAGATGAGAGGGGGATGGAAGGATGGACAGACAGACAGATGAATGGGTGGGTGGGTGGATGGACGGATAGGCAGACAGATCTTCAGTCACCAAGCAGTTGATATTCTTATCCAATGATAGATCCTCCCTCTGGAGGTAGGCAATAAAAGTAACATCTCAAAGATTTGGGGTTAATGACCCAAAGGGCACAATTCCTGCTGGCCTGCTGGACATAGGCACCATATGATTAAAAAACTTGGCTCCTACCTTGACTCTTTCCAGTTCAGACTCTTGTTGCCTTAAGGAACGTTCTAAATCTCTGCACTGTTCTTTAAGTTCGGTGTTTTCTTTCTCCAGCTGGCTCTGCATAGGAAAAGGGACACATGGAACTGCCCGGCTGAAGAGAATTTCTACTCTGCATGCTGCCCAAGTTGAAAGTGGGGAGACCATGCTTATCAAAAACTAAACAACAAGAAAGTGTTTGGGGATGAGGCCCTTCGGTCTTCTTATCCGTCCTCCATGCAAGCAAAAGCAGCTGCATTGATGATGTGGGTCAGAGAGAGCTTTGAAACTGGATCAGCCAGAAGACCAAGGACAAAGGGACACTCACCGAGTTCTGCAGGGCAGCCCCCCTTTCCAACTTCTGTGCAGCTTCAAGGGCAGCAACTTGCCTCTCTAGCTGCCCGACCTGCTCCATCCACTGAGACCGCACTGAAGAGAGGTCTTCCTGGGATTTAATGCTCTCCAACTCCAGATCCGCCTGCTGATGAGAAAGAAAGAAAGAGATAACTCCAGCACTCCATGGGGCACATAAGTGCTCAGAGGAAGAATCTGAGGCCAAGGCACATGAGAAGGGAACCAAGTTTCACGGAAGACTCAGGGCAAGACTGGCTTGCGGACCTCACTGAGTTACTGAGGATCATTTAACTTCAGGCTGAGATCCATATTGCTTGTTCTCTCCATTAATGCACTGCTTATCAAGAATCTTTGTACGACGTTACCACGAACGGAATGTCGCGAGCTTACCAACTTTTGGATCTGCAATTCTTTATCCTTGATCTCATCTTGGCTCTTGGTCACTGCCTCTTTGGCAAGCTGAAGGGCTCGTTCCAAATCTTTCAGCTACAAAAACAAGAGATTGTTCTTCTTTGGTTCCTGCCCCTTTTAGCTCCTCATGTCTCTCCCTCCCACTCTGCAAGGTTACTGAGAAAGGGAACACCCCGGCACTTACTTGCTGTGAACTGCTTTCCTGGAGATGGCAGATGGACTCCTCCTTCTCACTCAGACGTGCTTCTTCAGTGGCCAACCTGCAGTTCAGCTGATTGATCTGGAAAGCGACACACATCCTGTATGGAGCTTCCACTCAAGAAAGAGTGAAGGAAGATCCACAGCACAACCATGAATGGCTGTGTTGTTCAGGTAACGTGGACAATGAAAGCAAGTGGAAGGCCTCATGTCACAGTCCCTCCCTGTGTGTCCCTCCTCAGAGATCTTCTCCCTGAAATTCAGGCAGTATTTCTACTGATGGGGAAAACTCATTAACGCAATTGTGTCCATCCATGAAGGCTGAACTACATCTTTTGTGCTGCTCTGCTAGACAGCGAGGACCTTACATCTTCTCAAGCTCAAGTTTGAAATGCTGCAACAAAGAGGTCTTCAGCCCTCAAGGCCTCCAAAGATCTAGAACTAGTCCAAGCAAAGGCAACCCTGTACATGCTCAGTGAACCTCAAATATGTCCAGAGCAAACCAGTGGCACTGAATACTTCCTCTTTAAAATTAATCTCTTGCTTTTACCAAGCCAAGAACAATTATCCCCAGAAACATGAGTCATGTCATCTGTTCCCTTCCTGCCCATCAACACTCCAGACTGGCAAGAGTCACCTTGCCTGCCCTTACCTGAGTCTCCATGAGACTTATGCTCTCCTTGTGACCTGTCTGGGCTGCCAGGAGCTCTTGTCGCGTATCTTCCAGGCTCTGCTCTAAAGTGCTTTTCTAGAGAGGTTGAAAATGAACGAACAGTCTTATGTATACACTTTCCTTCTACCCCCTCAGCAGTTGATGGTGAAACAACCAACAATACAACCCAATTAAAAACACTAAACAACACTCATGACAAAATAGAGCTGGTGCAAATCAAATCAGGGAGTACTTTATGCCTTATCCCATGCTGTCTTGTTAACTCTATCCAAATTATAACAAAGGTGAGAAGTAGATGAGCAAACTCAGTATGCTGGAGGTCTTGGATTTCTACTGCCATAATTCTCCGCTGGAATGGCAAAGGATGATAGGGGCTGCAGATCCCAACTTTTGGGAAGCAGCAAGCCGAAGGGAACTGAGCTAATCAGATGAAATTTGCCAAAAGGGGATGAGTAGAAAACTCAAACTAAGTTTCCCTCTGTTGATTTCTGAGATCCATCAGCCCAGGCTAACATACTTCCTGCTGTGTCAAAAAGAAACCATCTTCGGTATTTCAAAGTTGATGGAGCCCAGGACAGATTTCCAATAGGAAATTAGTCAAGATGGCCCTGTGCAGAACTTGCCTGGGCCTCTACAAGCTGCGTTCACTTGAAGTGAGAAACCAAAGCAGTCTTTGCCTAAGAACTCCTGGATCTCAGGCTGGTGTCGTGGTGGGAGAATCAAACCCTGTGAAGTCTGTGAGATTAAGGCCTGCAAAGCTCTCTCAGCACCCCCCTCAATTGCCTCTTCCCACTGCCGTGATCAATCCCCACTCACCTCTCTGAACAGCTCCCGAAAATGTTCATCCCCAGAGAGGCTGCCTTCTAGTCGCTTCTCCAAGAGGGCGACTTTCTCTTGCAGTTGACCCACAAGCTGGGTCTTCTCCTCTGCTTGGGCAACCATCTGTTTGAACACACAGATGAGATGCTTCACTTGCTTGGCAGCCCGTTTGCTAGAGAGGCTGTTGGGCACCCTGCCCTACAAGGGGGTCTCCATTCTCCGGCCTGAAAGAAGGTTTGCGGTCACATCAGGCCCCTTCCTTCTGCAAAGCAGAAGAGCTACAACCTCTCCAGTGGTTTGTTTCTGTTATCTCATTCTCCAGTGCTGCCATGTATGACTCATGAGATGCTCTGGCCATCATCCCAAGCAGGAAAGAAGAAGCAAGGCATATGCAAAGCACATCAGAGAATATGAGCTCCAACCACTAAACATTCACACTGTTTTCATCTGACGCTTGCTTCATCTATAAATATCCAGTTTGTCTGCCTACTTTGCGACCCGGCCCTTCCTCGGGGCCCAAACATGCAGGAGAATCCCTACTCTAGAAGTCCACTTGCTCCTGACTTTTAAGGCCAATGGCTGGAGATCTCTACCTTTTGCCTTTGCTCTTCAAATTCCAGCTTCAGAGATTCTTGTTCTCCCTGCAGCATCTCCAGGCGCTTTTCAGAACCAGAGGTGGCAAGCTGAGCCTAGAAGGTTAAAGGAAAAGGTCCTGAAATCTAATCTGGAACATCTGGGATGACAACTCCGTTGGCCAAAGGTTTTTACCTCTCCCCGTACATGAACTGTTCCTGGGTCTCTGATGCTTTAAGGCACGCTGAACTCCATCTACAAGAAAGAAAGTGCCTACTCTTGTTTAAGGGCGGTGGGCAACCCACAGCCTTGTCCCTCAACTGAATTTCAAGCTACTGCGCAGAACCCTCTGCCAATCCTATAATTATTATGATTCCCACAACATGCTGACCACAAACTACCCAACCCTGTCATAGCTGGTTGGGTGATCCTAACCGCAGACAGAAGAGGGCATGAGAAACAGAGGGGAGAGATGCCCCTGCTTTTACCACCGGCCCCGCCTACCACTTGCAGAAGCCGGTCCACTAAGACTGAACGGTTCCTCCGAGGAACTACAGCCTTCTATCTAGGAGCTGCAAAAAGCTGCTTGTCCGCCTATTATCCAGCAGGAGAGTGAATATGCTGGGAGGAGTACCCTTGAGCAGAGCTGTGCATGCCATCTGAGGTACCCTCTTCCCAGAGGTTGGGCAGCTTTGGCATCAGGGTGCCAGCCTCAGTGGAGGGGATAAGAAAGGCCTGAGAGGCAGCACCCAGAACTTCTCAACGTACATTCTTCAGATCTACTGACAGGCGCTGGATGTAGGCTTGCAGCTCTTGGCTCCGTTCTTCCAAGGTGGTGATCTTGTTTTCTGCACTCTCCCCGGCGTCCTTGAGCTCATCCCTGCATTAAAAGTAGGAAGAGGAACTTTGACCCACAGACCAGAGATCAAATTCAGAAGCTTCTGCTCAGCTCCTTTCTGTCCAAGTCCAAAGCCTGGAGATCTCCCTGTTCCTAGCCAGAAGGAAAGTCTTTCCAGAGAACTCACATTCAACATCAGAGAGAGAATCATATAGGCTCACCCTCTCTCAATCACCTTGGAACTACTCAAGATGACCTATGGTCAATGTCCAGAGGGGACCGATGACATGGCAACGACAGAAGATGTTTTTTTTTCACCAATAAACATCTAGAGAGGCAGGAGGATGACTTCCTATAGTCAAGGCCATAATAGGTTCTTTCAGTTTAGAAAGAAGACTTGTTCGCCAACTTCTCACTGAAGCATGACTCCCAAAATAAGATGCTCACATCAGGTTAGGCTGCTGGGGCTCGTGCATCTGGCCTGGCCACCTAGGAAGCTTCATCCTGCCTGCTGACCAGAAAGGCTGATGCTGAAGGAGCCACAGAGACTAGGCAGCCCCACTTCCCTCATTGCTACCTTCTCCGAGCAAGTGTAGGGATTCCACTTAGTGAAAGTTACACCTGAGTTGGTATTATGACCCAGGTCCCCATACCCATCCTCTCCGCCTATCTCAGGCTGCTCTCCCAATCAGCTCAGGTGGAGGGTCCTTCTCTTACCTTTCCGTTTCCAGGTCCACCTGCTGTTGTTGCAGCTTCTGAACTTCTCTGCACAGGCGTGAGGACAAGGCCTGAGAGGCCTGCAGCTCCTCTCGTGTTTGCAGCAACTCCTGAGTGGAGGATCCCAGCTCTCGCTCCATCTGGGCCAGGGACTCTTCCTTTTTCAGAAGCTAGATGTTTACAAGGAACCCATTTAAAAGTAAGAGACGCTTAATACGGGGGGTTCTCTCAGCCCAGCATCATTGGGGTAAGGGGAAGGACAGATAACTCAGAGGTTTAGGCAGACTTCAGGTCAGCAGAATATTTGTCTTTTGACTCAAAAGCCAAAATCCCACCACTAAAGTTAAGAGCAAACCAGCAGCTTAAAGACACTTGCCATCCCCAGGCATAAAAACACCTGCTTGAAAGCCCAAACATCTGTAATTAGTTGGTGTAGGCAAGTATTTCTCAACCTCAGCCACTTTAAGATGTATGGACTTCAACTCCCAGAATTCCCCAGCGAGCATTCTGGGAGATGAAGTCCACACATCGTAAAGTGGCTGAGGTTGAGAAACACTGAGGTAGATCAACACAGAACTAAACGTTTCAATTGGATGTAAGGCTGCTTTTTCTGTGACTCCTGCGTATTACCCTCAGATGAATGCTACGATGGGAAAAAAAAAAGTAGGGGTGTGCAAAACATGTCTTCCAAATCATTTTGAGCTTGAAACTTTTCCAAATAGACCACTCCAAGCATTTTGGAAAGGCTTCATGCACTCAACTGGAGACTTCGGGGGGGATCTGCATGAAAAACAGGGTGGAACTAAAGGTTTTGTCCACCCCTAGAAAAAAGAAAGGCAAAATTCAATGTAGCATTACAATCGGTAGAAGAGAAAGTTTGTAAGAGTGAGCCCAGAGCATTTGGAACCAGAGGACAGGGCTCCATTCACCCCATCCCAAAGAAAAGTTTGGAAACCCAGCCAAGATGCCCCAGCCTGGAGGATGACGACTTGGGAAGCCTCACCATGTGCTTGACTTTTGCAAGCTCCTGTTGTTGAAAACCTTCCAACTCGTCAATCTCATCTCTCTTCTGGAACAGGTTCAAACTCTGTTCTCTCATTTCTTGCAACTGGGTTGAAAGGAGTTTCCTCTCCTGTTTAGCAGCCAATACATAAGAAGGACCAAAAAAAAAAAAATGTTAAGGACGGTCTCAACTTCAGGGCAAAACCTAACCATGTTTGAAGAGCTGGGGAGGGAGGGAGGGAGGGAGGGGGAACCATTGCAAATGCTTTCCAGTCTCACAAGATGCAGCATTTCAAAAGGCACCTGAAAAGGTTTGGGGAGAGACACCAAGGCTAATCTAGCCCTCTCTTGTGGGTCACTTGGAAGCATAGCCCTTCGACCCCCATCCACAACAAAGCAAAACTTCTTTCTTTCTACAGCACCTCTTAGAGACACGGAAGTCCACCATCTGAGCCCCCCAGTGTGCCTGGGGCCCCAAAACCCATAATTAGGGCTCCCAGAGACCTCCAAAACCAACCTGCCCGCACTTGGTCTCAAGCCAGCTCCTCACCTTTTCAAGATGAGACAGTTTTTCCCGCCACTCCTGGGAAAGAAGAAAAGGACAAGTCAACATCAGCACAGCTAGGCTGAGCGCCGGCAAGAGACAGAGGCACAGCGGAAGGGCTGCCTTGAAAGCTCGATAAAGGAAAAGCAAGGAACCCGGCAGAGCCCGCAGAAAAGAACTTCAATGCTTAAACAGCTGCTCTGACATCATGAAGCAGCAGAGAGAGAGAGAGATGCTTTTATTACATCACAGAGAGGCCTCCTTCCTTAAAGGGATAGTCTTTGAGGGAAGAAGCGTTCCCACAGGAAATTATTAAGGGGAAAAAAGGGGAGGTTTCTCTCCCAGGACAACTCAGTGCCCCAACAAGGTGGGTAAAAGTCCTACGCGAGCATTCCCCTCTTGAAACAGCACTTATGTCCTGCTGAGAAACCCCAAAGGTTTCTGAGCATTAAAGTCTCAGCTGCATGTGGTTATTACAGGCAGCCATGGATGCCATTACAGGAGAAGCCTCAGGCCTGCAAATACTTTCACTCCTTCCTTTCACCAAGTAGGAGCAAAGTGTTGCTCCTGGATGCATTTTGCATGAAGCCTAATCTGCCTCTTCGCCCTCCTCTGCGCATATTTGGGGAGAGGCGGGAAGGAACGTCGCAGTCCAAGACTGAGACGTCCCTGCAAACCGCTGGGATGTGGAAGATAGGATTTCATAAGCTTAGAACTACTTAAAAAATATTATTTTAATCACAAAAAATAAAGTGGAAATTCAGCACATTTGCCTTGACACCTACACAGCCGTGGTTAGACAGGCTTCTACAATTTTCCCTGGGTGGTCACAGCATTCAGGAAAATCTGTGCCTGCCCTGAATGATTTTGGCCCACCTTCAGGGTAGAACATCTTGACACCACGGACAAGCTACCTGGTCCTTCTTCTCCAGGGCCAAGGTCATCCCTTCTGCCATCTTCGCTATGCTGGTCTGGTGTGTTTCGTTCTGCTCTTGAAGTTTCTTCACAAAGGCTGTGGGCAATAACGTAAGGCACGAGTTGTAGTGAAACCAGGGCTGTGCCTGAATGAAAGCTGAGACCTACCCATTAGGGAAAAACTGAAACTGCCTTGCCAGAGTCAAGCTCTCAGTCCACCAGTCCAATATTATCTTTTTTGACTGGCAGCAGCTCACCAAGCTCCTTTTCGCCCACATTTGCTCCCCTAAGACTTTGCTGGGAAATGCAAAGCATATACAGGTCATCCTCATTTAGCGACCACAATTGGGACCAGCAACTCAGTTGTTAAGCAAGGTGGCCGCTAAGTTAAACCATGACTGTCTTGATGATCTGACTTCAGT